GGGGCCGCCAAAAACGGCAACAAATTAATAGGGTTTTATACCTGGGAGTAAAACTTAAAAATTTTTTCTCTTCTCTCTCCCCAAAAGGCAAGGGAAGAGACTCTCTCTTTCCCAAAAACGCTCTCTCTCGACGAGAGCCACAAGAAGAGAAGAGAGAGGGGTCAAGAAGCCGTCCGCCCAGCAAGCCGGTGGAGGCTAGGTGGAGGCCGAGCGCGCGGAATCGACGATGGCGTGCCGGCTGTGGGCCCGGACGAAGGTCACTAGAGAGAGAGTTGTTTCAAGAGTTGTTTGAAGGTCATTCGCTCGAAAACGCGAGCGACTGCAGCTTTCTTTGCGGCTCGCATAGGAGAGGGCGGACATTTCTTCTCGCATAGAAGCATTTGGAAAATCAAACCAGAAGCGCGGACATTTTCTTCTCGTACAGTGCGCGCGCCATGATTTTCTTCTCGCGACGGCTCCTGATCCAGGCTGACTTAGGCTAGCTATGCGCGCGAGGCGGCTGGCGCGCACCGCCCCAGGCGCATCCGCAGCCGCTGCCGCGTCCTGTCATTCTGCAGTCGATCGCCGCCGAGGTCGCGGTCGCGGGCGGCGCCGTCGCGGATCGCCAGAGGCGGCGGGCCGGCGGGAGAGGGCGGTGGCGCGAGCGGTGATGATGATGTGGCCATTGGCCGCCGCCGCGTCCTCTTTGCGAGCGCTCTCGGCTTCCGCCCCTTTTTACGCTAGTCCCCCCCCTGCTCGTGCGTCGAGTTTTCGGCGGGTCAGGCCGGGGCTCCTCAGCAGTCTACTTGGGTTTGTTAGAAACGGCTTATTCAACGGGTGGGCCGCACTAGCACGCTACACACTATAGTTATATCAACGGGTGGGCCGCACTAGCACGCTATACACTATAGTTATAGTTCATACGTTCTACACACTATAGTTATAGTTCATACGTTCAGCTGCGTCCAATATCCGCGATGCCACCCGCTGGCCGGTGTGCATTTGACACCTCAGCGTATGCAGGAATGCGATGGAGGTCCTCAGCGTGCTCGCGCGGCAGCAGTGCGGCCTACAGCGCAGGAGGCGCCGCAACATAAGGTCCTCACTGCGAAAGGTCCTCAGGGGCACGCGCGCGTACGCGCGCGCGCACGGCTCTGTCTGTCACGATGAGGAACTCGACGCCCACGCCTCCCGAGGACCTCTGTCAGTCACGATGCGGAACTCGACGCCCGCGCCTCCCGCGATAGGCGTCTCCCATCCCTCGTCCTGCAGCGTTGCCCGCGTTCTATTGCATAGGTCGAGCGCGCGCGCGTCCGGCCGTCGGCGGTCGGCTGCACTCAAGGGAGAGAAAGAGAATCCGGTCCGGCCCCACCCCACCCCACGCCACCCCACCCCATCCCACCTCACCCCACCCCACCCACCCGCCTCTCTATATGAACTTGAGCCCGCTCCAGGCGTCTCGCAGCTGCGTATTCTCGTATTATCGTCGAGTAGTTGCGTGGGGGCGGTACGTATTCTCGTATCACTAGCTAGTGTCGTGTCCACTAGCTCCGAGTAGAGGGGGCGTTCATTATATAGCTCCGAGTAGAGGGGGCGTCCTTGCAGTTAAGGGGAAACCTGGTACGCGGGTCCAACCCTCGGGGAGTATTCTTTAGCTCCGAGTAGAGGGGGCGGTCTGCTGCTAGGGGAAACCCGGAGCGCGGAGCCAACCCTCGGAGACCCGTGTTATGGCCCTGCGACCGCGCACCCCCGGGGCTAGGGCTCTCTAGCCCGTAACCCGATGCCGAGCGTCCGGCCAACTGGGTGCGCTTCTCAGCTCCCCGGTCCTGGGCGTGAGGTTACTGACCGCACTCCAAGTGCTCCAAGTACGAATCTCTCTCTCTCTCTCACTGAGGAGGGCCGCCCAAGCAAGAAGTACACACACCTGCAAAACAAGCAGCACAGGAACACAAAAAACACAAAACCCCAAAACCAACAAAAAAATAGACCCGGAGTATAACACAAAACCCCAAAACCAACACAAAAAAAAACCGTGGTACACACTAACACAGAATCCCAAAACCAATAAAGAAGAAACTGCCGTACAAAACAACAGCACAGGAACACAAAATCCCGAAACCAACAAAAAAACAGCACAGGAACACAAAATCCCGAAACCAACAAGAAAACAGCACCCGAGTACAAATCCCAACCACAAAAAAAAGAAAAGCGCGACTACAACAAAAAAAAGAAAACCGCGAGTACAGAGGACGGGATTCGAACCCGCGCCCCTTACGAGACTGGAGCCTTAATCCAGCGCCTTAGACCAACTCGGCCACCTCTGCATGATTTGATATGAGTTGCAGACTTTCGGTGGCCTATAAAGGTAAATTTTTTTTCTTTAAAGGAGCGCCGGCCACTCACGCGCACGACGAGTTCCGTGGGGAGGTCGAGGAGGCGGGCGGGCGGCGGCGTGTCTGGTGCGGCGCTGGCGGAGGCGGCGAGGAGCGAGCGAGGCCACCCAATCGACCTCAACCACTCGCACGAGGACTGGGCGCGCCGCGAGTCGTCCGACCGCCACATGTCCGGCACGAAGAGGACGATTTTTTTTATTTTTCACAAAATATTGATACTTTCGCGGCGGCGCGAGTTGGGAGAGAGAGGTGCTCGTGTGGCCCGGTACCTACGCGGAGAGCGTGCGCGTGCTCCGTGACGTGACGCTCGTGGGCCTGGGCGAGGTGGTCGTGCGCGCGCCAGGATGGGAGAGCGCGCTCGTCTGGGGCGGCTACATGGTGCTAGGGTGCCCACAGGACCCAAAAGAAAATAGCTTTCCGGCTCAAAAAGGGACGCACGAGGCAAATCTGATGTTGGAATGCTTCAATAGGAGCGAGGCCTCTTCCGTTGGGGGACCGAGTACATAGGAAACGAGGGTTCCCCGGTTTGTCACGCGCGAGCACGAGCGTGACACTGCACTTGGCGCCGAGCGCCCGCGGCTCAGACCTTGTGCAAGCCGACCCTCGGTGCAAGCACCGGTCCGGACCGTGGGCGCTCGGTGTGGAGCAAGCAAGACCCCCCCCCCCCCCCCCATCGGCGCGCGCTCGCCATTCCAACGGGCGCCAGGAGCACCAAGAGGACTCCTCATGGCTGCTTGCAAGTGGGCTTCGACCGGCCTCGGCTGGGGGGGCGGGTTGTCCCGGTTGCGGACACCTTCTGCAGCCCCCTGGGCCCGTGACAGCACCCCAAAACTGCCCCCGGCGGCATACAGCACTGTCAGCCAGCCTCTTCCTCCTCCTCAAGGGCTGTACTATAGGCCATATTGCGCCGCCTCCTACTGGCAGCCGGGCGGGCGCGCGCCGCGGGCGCCTCGGCGCGCGCACGGCTCGCAAAGTTCGAACGAGTACTGCCGCCCGGCCGCCTCAAGGCTGCCGGGCGGCAGTACTCGCCTCGCGAGGCGCGCACCGGCTGCTCTGGCTGCTGCGCCGGCGGCCGCTGCGCTGGCCGTTGCTGCGCCGGCTGGCGGGCGGCACGGCCGCCGGCGGCCGCTGCACCCGCGCCTTCCCTCGCGGGCGCCGTCGCGCCGCGCGCGCCCAACTGTGCTGGCACACGGCACGCGCGCGTCACACAGCCGCGGAGAACAGGCGGTGCTGTGCGCGAAGCGCGCGCGATATCGTACATTTTAAGGCTGGATCCGGCCATTCCAAGGGTATACCTTTGAGAATCCCCAGCGTCCCACCCTCCTAGTCACACTCTCAATATCTCGACTGGCCAACACGAAGTGCTGCGATCGGCAGTCGCCAATTTCTTTTTTCTTTTCTTTTTTTGGGTCCTGTGGGCACCCTAATGGTGCGCGGCGTCAAGTTGTTCGACCAGTTTGAGCTGCAGTCGTCCAACGCGGGCGCCGGGGCACGCGTGCACATGAACCTGACGCTGTGCCAGCGCAACCAGTCTCAGGCGACGGCCGTCTACTGCACGTGGGGCACACCGCGTGGTGTAGGAGCCTGAAAGAGGGTAGAGGTCCTTCTTGCCGTGCCGCTCGAGCCCCGGCGTGGCATAGGACTGCCCAACGATGCCGTGCGGCCTGTCGCGGGCCGGCGCGTCGCCTCTCGCTGTGAAGCCAATGTCCAGGCGGTGCTCGGGGCCCGCGACCAGGCAGCCCTTGCACGAGCGGCTGCCGTGCACCTTCACGGTCCAGTTTCCGAGCTCAAATGTGGCGCTCGATTGCGCGGCTGCACCTTGAGCACGATCTCCTCGTCCTGCTCGATCGGCCCCAGCGTGGCCTTGCACGCGAGGCGCCAGCGGGGGAACCGCTTGGCCACCATCTGCACCTCTTGGGAGCTCGGCTCGCTCAGCGCGTGGAGCCCCTTGGCCACCTCCACAGCGCAAGTGCAGCACGTATCCTCCACGGCGCAAGTGCGTGTCCTCTCGAGCGCTGGCTGGAGTCCAAGAACACGTACCACCGGCTGTCGAGGCTCACAGCCGGGTGGCGCAATTCACCAACTTTTGGCCATAAACGGCACGTGGAAGGGCCTGCAGGGTGGCTCGTACTGGCACCAAGACGGCCAGTTCTGGCAAGCTCCGAAGCAGAATATCTTCTCGGTGCTCCATGCGCAAGCCCTGCCGCCAGCAGGCGGCGGGACGGGCTTCGCCGACCTGCGCGCCGCCCGCAGCACGCTCTCGCAGCCGCTGCTGGAGCGGGCTGCTCGAGCTTCCATCCGCGCGTCATTAATCAAGATCTTGCCCAACCCGGGGGTGAGCTTCCGAGGGCCGACGGCGGAGGACATTGCGCGGATGCCTGAGGCGGAGCACCCAATGCTGAGTCGGCGCTGCCTCGACGGCGGTCCTCTGCTGTACGTCGGCTCCAAGTACATGGATGTCGTGGGATTGGAGACCGCCGAGGCCGGCAAGGCATTGCTGAGTAAGTATGCTGTTGACGCACGCCACGTCGCCCTCCTTCACTTACCTTCATGAGTGGGACGTGGGGGACATCCTGGTGTGGGACAACACGCAAGTCCTGCACCGCCCCTTTCCGTACGATAACGACGGCACGAACGTGCGCAAGCTCTACCGCACACAGGCGTGGATGCTGCCCGTCGCAGAGCCACGCGGCAAGCAAGAGCTCTGATCCTGTTACTGACTGGACAGCGCAATCGCGCGTCCAAGTCGAACGAGCAATGCCTGAATTCGTGACCTTCCACCCCCACTAGCTTTCGGCAGTCGGCCGTGTGGTGTACTCCTCCGCCTCAGCGATGGCAGTGCAGATCACCGCCTGGTAGTTGCTCGCCTTGGGTCCGAGAGGTCGATGCGCTCAAACACTTTAGAACCTCCTCGCTCTGGCGATCGGGTCATCTGGAGGGCAATGCAGCTTCCTTTTTATTTTTCTGGTGCCGCGGGATTCCGTCCGCGAATTCTTTTGCTCGCGATGTCCACCCGGCCGCGCCGCTCGCGCCGCCTCGCCCCCGCCGCCACCGCCGCTCCCTCGTCAAACACGCCGCCGCCCGCCCACCTCCTCGACCTCCCCACGGACCTCCTCGTGCGCGTCGTCTCTCGCTGCGACCCCGTCGACATCGCTCGCGTCGCGGCCGTCTCGCTGCTCTTCCACGCCTCGCTTGCGGTGGAGGGCATCCGCTTGCGGGCGCAAGAGCGCGGCTTCGAGCTGCCGGCGCTGCCAGAGGGCGAGTGCTGCGCCGTGCGATGGCTGTGCTTGTCGGCGCTGCTGCGCGAGTCCAACCCGCCGGCGAGGGCGGCGGCAGGCCAGTGTCACAGCCTCTTCATCGACGGCGAGGGGCGGCTCTCGTCGTGCGGCTCAGCGCAGTCCCCCTTTCCAGGGCTGCTCGGGCACGGCGAGGGCGTGACGCGGCTCAACACGCCGACCCGCCTCCCTTCCACGCTGGGCGGCGAGCGCGCAGTGAGCGTGGCGGCTAGAGCAATCCACAGCCTCGCCATCACCGCCGACGGGGCTGTCTGGAGCTGGGGCTTTGGAGGTGGAGGCCGGTTGGGCCATGGCGACCTGCAGAACCAGTGGGAGCCCAAGAAGGTCGAGGCCTTCGCTGATCAGCACGTCGTGAGCGTGTCGGCTGGAAGCGGCCACAGCCTCGCCCTCACCGCCGACAGCGCCGTTTGGAGTTGGGGCTTTGGAGGCGACGGGGGAGCGCGGTTGGGTCACGGCGACCAGCAGGACCAGTGGCAGCCGGCGAAGATCGAGGCCTTTGCTGGCCAGCGCGTCGTCGCCGTGTCGGCTGGAGCCGTTCATAGCCTCGCCCTCACCGCCGGCGGCGCCGTTTGGAGCTGGGGCGATGGAGACTTGGGCGAGCTGGGCCACGGCGACGAGCTGCACCAGCTGCTGCCCAAGAAGGTCGAGGCCTTTGCTGGGCAGCGCGTCGTCGCTGTGTCGGCTGGAGACGCGCACAACCTCGCCCTCACTGCCGACGGCGCCGTCTGGAGCTGGGGCTTTGGAGGGGATGGCGAGTTGGGCCACGGCGACCAGCAGCGCCAGCTGCTGCCCAAGAAGGTCGATGCCTTGGCTGGCCAGCGCGTCCTCGCTGTTACGGTGGGATATGGGCACAGCCTCGCCCTCACCGCCGACGGCGCTGTCTGGAGCTGGGGCCATGGAGATGACGGCCAGCTAGGCCACGGCGATCAGCAGCGCCAGCTGCTGCCCAAGAAGGTCGAGGCGTTGGCTGGTCGGCGCGTCGTTGCTCTGTCGGCGGGAGCTCGCCACAGCATCGCCACCACCGCCGACAGCGCCGTCTTTGCCTGGGGGGGTGGCAGCGAAGCCTGTCTAGGCCACGGAGAGGACCTGTCGGACCAGCTGCTGCCCATGAAGGTCGAGGCGTGGCCGCCCAGCACGCCCGCATCCGCTTGACTACACACAACCGAAAACCTCAAAGATCCTTAGAAGTCTCTGCGCAGTTTGCAGGACCTGACACGGCCGGCGTGTGCGTTTGCATGTTCTTGTCAAGCTCTCGGTTCCCCCTCGCTCCCCGCTCTCGCACTGCAGTTTTGAGACCAGGGTGCTGCGCACTTGGAGCACTCTCTGGGGGGAGGCGAGGGCCCTAGGGGGTACCCATGCGGGGGGGGGGGGGGTCCCCCAGCCCGCCGCAGGCGCCGATTTTTTGGCATTTTTCTTTTTCGCTCGATTTTTTACTTGTTTCATGGGAATTCGGCGTACTTGCGGCCATGCAGCATGCTATCACGCCTTGCGACATCCTTTCGGCGCTGCTGACCGTGCCATGCTGCTCAACTGACCGCCTGCATAGCTCGCGGCCTTAGTCTTCGGCATTCAGTGACGACCTGATCGTACGGCCAGTAGGAAGGTGTCCTTCCAGCGTGTGCACGCTTCTGACGCAATGCGCGTCACAAACTGCCTCGGATTGGCTGCTGGCACTCTCGAGGCTATGCCTACACAGCCTCGCGCGCATGGGCAGTCAAGAGGGACCATGCACCTTCTCAGGACAGCGCCGGTGCCTCTCTCTTGGACCGGCAAACGTGGTGGTCTCGTGTCACCAATGTGGGACCAGTGCGGCATCGCGCCATCGACAGCTCTGAACTGCGCCTCACCACTGAACGGGAAGGCCGCCAAGTGGGCCAGCACCGGTCGCACATTGTGGCAGCAGTCAGCAGCGCATGTCTGATAGCTAGAGCAGCAGCGTCAGGGTCGCAGGGTCGGATCGTGTCAAGCCTCTCGCCCGGCCGGCCGCGGGCAGACGTCGGCCTGTCTGCTGTCTGGAGTGATCTGTCGGCGGTCAGTACGACCGATCAGGTTGGAGTTTTCTGATGGTTGGAGGGTCTCTATCTGTATGTACTCCTCGAGATCTCTCCAAATCTGCCCTCTAACCAACCGAGACGAGAGTGGCGCGTTCGAAGAACGCCAGGTCCGGCAGGTGCGTCATGCCTTCGCGCTTCGGGCAGCACCGCGTGCCCGTCGGCGACGACGACCTGCCAGCCGCCCACATCCAGAGTCTCGGAGCCGGGCGGCGGCGCGGCGTCGCTCGGCGGCGGCGCTGAAGGCGTCGAGGCGGGCATCACCATCGTGGGAAAAGAATTTTACAATAAAGAATTCTCGCGTTGATCGTGCGGAAAGCCGCGCAGCAATGGACCGAGGAAGATGAGAACCCGCCTAGGGCGACAATGGCGCACTTGCTTAGCGGCGCCTGCCTGGGGAATAGGGAGCAGGCCAGCTGGTTCCTCAGAGTAGCGCGAGCGCAGACGGGGACGGCGATCAGCAAAGTAGAGTGATTCTGAGATCAGGTTGGGCGACTGGCAGACATTTCAAAAATTTGGCGCCACAGGCGCCCGCTGCGTGCCCACCATGGTTGGGCGCGCAGCGAAGAAAATTTTGCGCTCTCGACAGCCTTTTCTAATAGGAAAATGGCCTCTACTCGGCGCCATACCGCTTGTCGGCGCACAGCGGAGCTCGCAAGCCGGACCTGCTGCCTTCCCTTCTACGTACACTCCGCCGATAACGATTGGGGTGGGGGCCCCAACTCGTGGTAGGCCACTAGTTTATCGTAGGGTACTCACGGATACCTCTCCTGAGTCCCTCTCATGTGCCCTCGCGCACATCGCATGCGGTCTTCACTCAGCCTCCGCTGCTGTGAACACCAAACTTGCACTTCGCTGGTGCGCGCTTTCGCCGCCTACTTTCGCGAGCGCGCTTGGCCCTTGCTCCTCATGGGCGGCACTCTCGCTGCGCTCTCTCCCTGCTCATGGGACCTGATGCCGCGCCACCTCTGTGGCCGCTCCATCCTCTCTGACGGCGCCAGCCCTCCGGCTGCGCCATCTCTCTTTGGTTGGCACAGAATCTGTGTCTGCGCCATTCTTGCTGTCGCTGGCGACTGTTTCTGGGCAGCAGTACACGATGGGCGGCGGCCTCGTCTGCCGCGCTTGTGGCGCTCTCGTGGTCGCCTCAGCTCTGCCACGACGGCCTCGTCCACCTGGCGGCCAGGGGCGGTGGCCCCACAGCCCACTCTTGGTGCTGCTGTTGCATCACGTCTCGTGGCGTGCTTCTCCTTTCTCTCTGGAACCGCCGGCGATAGGCTCTGCTGTCATGTTGCTCAGGGATATCTCTATCCAAGGCAACACTCCGGCACTTGCCCCGCCCGTGCAGCGGCGCTTGCTGCTCTTCGAGTGAGCCTCGTCTCGCTCTCTTTGTCTGCTCAAGCCTCGCCTCGTTCGCCCTCATGGGCGGCGTGGCGGGCGGGCGGCGGTCTGGCTCGCTCTTCGTCTACTCGAGCCTCGTCTCGTGTGCCGCCTCTTGGGCGGCGTGGCGTGGCGGGCGGCTGTCTCTGCCGCCGCCTCGTGCGAGCCTCGTCTCGCTCTTCGTCTACCCGAGCCTCGTCTCGTGTGCCGCCTCGTGGGCGGCGTGGCGTGGCGGGCGGCCGTCTGTGCCGCCGCCTCGAGTGAGCCTCGTCTCGCTCTTCGTCTACTCGAGCCTCGTCTCGTGTGCCGCCTCGTGGGCGGCGTGGCGTGGCGGGCGGCTGTCTCTGCTACCGCCTCGTGTGAGCCTCGTCTCGCTCTTCGTCTACTCGAGCCTCGTCTCGTGTGCCGCCTCTTGGGCGGCGTGGCGTGGCGGGCGGCTGTCTCTGCTGCCGCCTCGAGTGAGCCTCGTCTCGCTCTTCGTCTACTCGAGCCTCGTCTCGTGTGCCGCCTCGTGGGCGGCGTGGCGGGCGGGCGGCTGTCTCTGCCGCCGCCTCGAGTGAGCCTCGTCTCGCTCTTCGTCTACTCGAGCCTCGTCTCGTGCGCCGCCTCGTGGGCGGCGTGGCGTGGCGGGCGGCTGTCTCTGCCGCCGCCTCGAGTGAGCCTCGTCTCGCTCTTCGTCTACTCGAGCCTCGTCTCGTGTGCCGCCTCGTGGGCGGCGTGGCGTGGCGGGCGGCCGTCTGTGCCGCCGCCTTGTGTGAGCCTCGTCTCGCTCTTCGTCTACTCGAGCCTCGTCTCGTGTGCCGCCTCTTGGACGGCGTGGCGGGCGGCTGTCTCTGCCGCCGCCTCGAGTGAGCCTCGTCTCGCTCTTCGTCTACTCGAGCCTCGTCTCGTGTGCCGCCTCTTGGGCGGCGTGGCGTGGCGGGCGGCCGTCTGTGCCGCCGCCTCGAGTGAGCCTCGTCTCGCTCTTCGTCTACTCGAGCCTCGTCTCGTGTGCCGCCTCTTGAGCGGCGTGGCGTGGCGGGCGGCCGTCTCTGCCGCCGCCTCGAGTGAGCGCGTCTCGCTCTTCGTCTACTCGAGCCTCGTCTCGTGTGCCGCCTCGTGGGCGGCGTGGCGTGGCGGGCGGCTGTCTCTGCTGCCGCCTTGAGTGAGCCTCGTCTCGCTCTTCGTCTACTCGAGCCTCGTCTCGTGTGCCGCCTCGTGGGCGGCGTGGCGGGCGGGCGGCTGTCTCTGCCGCCGCCTCGAGTGAGCCTCGTCTCACTCTTCGTCTACTCGAGCCTCGTCTCGTGCGCCGCCTCGTGGGCGGCGTGGCGTGGCGGGCGGCTGTCTCTGCCGCCGCCTCGAGTGAGCCTCGTCTCGCTCTTCGTCTACTCGAGCCTCGTCTCGTGTGCCGCCTCGTGGGCGGCGTGGCGTGGCGGGCTGCTGTCTCTGCCGCCGCCTTGTGTGAGCCTCGTCTCGCTCTTCGCCTACTTGAGCCTCGTCTCGTGTGCCGCCTCGTGGGCGGCGTGGCGTGGCGGGCGGCCGTCTCTGCCGCCGCCTCGAGTGAGCGCGTCTCGCTCTTCGTCTACTCGAGCCTCGTCTCGTGTGCCGCCTCGTGGGCGGCGTGGCGTGGCGGGCGGCTGTCTGTGCCGCCGCCTCGAGCGAGCCTCGTCTCGCTCATCGTCTACTCGAGCCTCGTCTCGTGTGCCGCCTCGTGGGCGGCGTGGCGGGCGGCTGTCTCTGCCGCCGCCTCGAGTGAGCCTCGTCTCGCTCTTCGTCTACTCGAGCCTCGTCTCGTGTGCCGCCTCGTGGGCGGCGTGGCGTGGCGGGCGGCTGTCTCTGCCGCCGCCTCGTGTGAGCCTCGTCTCGCTCTTCGTCTACTCGAGCCTCGTCTCGTGCGCCGCCTCGTGGGCGGCGTGGCGTGGCGGGCGGCTGTCTCTGCCGCCGCCTCGAGTGAGCCTCGTCTCGCTCTTCGTCTACTCGAGCCTCGTCTCGTGCGCCGCCTCGTGGGCGGCGTGGCGTGGCGGGCGGCTGTCTCTGCCGCCGCCTCGAGTGAGCCTCGTCTCGCTCTTCGTCTACTCGAGCCTCGTCTCGTGTGCCGCCTCGTGGGCGGCGTGGCGTGGCGGGCGGCCGTCTGTGCCGCCGCCTTGTGTGAGCCTCGTCTCGCTCTTCGTCTACTCGAGCCTCGTCTCGTGTGCCGCCTCTTGGGCGGCGTGGCGTGGCGGGCGGCCGTCTGTGCCGCCGCCTCGAGTGAGCCTCGTCTCGCTCTTCGTCTACTCGAGCCTCGTCTCGTGTGCCGCCTCGTGGGCGGCGTGGCGTGGCGGGCGGCTGTCTCTGCTACCGCCTCGTGTGAGCCTCGCCTCGCTCTTCGTCTACTCGAGCCTCGTCTCGTGTGCCGCCTCTTGAGCGGCGTGGCGTGGCGGGCGGCCGTCTCTGCCGCCGCCTCGAGTGAGCGCGTCTCGCTCTTCGTCTACTCGAGCCTCGTCTCGTGTGCCGCCTCGTGGGCGGCGTGGCGTGGCGGGCGGCCGTCTCTGCCGCCGCCTTGTGTGAGCCTCGTCTCGCTCTTCGTCTACTCGAGCCTCGTCTCGTGTGCCGCCTCGTGGGCGGCGTGGCGGGCGGGCGGCTGTCTCTGCCGCCGCCTCGAGTGAGCCTCGTCTCACTCTTCGCCTACTTGAGCCTCGTCTCGTGTGCCGCCTCGTGGGCGGCGTGGCGTGGCGGGCGGCCGTCTCTGCCGCCGCCTCGAGTGAGCGCGTCTCGCTCTTCGTCTACTCGAGCCTCGTCTCGTGTGCCGCCTCGTGGGCGGCGTGGCGTGGCGGGCGGCTGTCTGTGCCGCCGCCTCGTGTGAGCCTCGTCTCGCTCTTCGTCTACTCGAGCCTCGTCTCGTGTGCCGCCTCGTGGGCGGCGTGGCGGGCGGCTGTCTCTGCCGCCGCCTCGAGTGAGCCTCGTCTCGCTCTTCGTCTACTCGAGCCTCGTCTCGTGTGCCGCCTCGTGGGCGGCGTGGCGTGGCGGGCGGCTGTCTCTGCCGCCGCCTCGTGTGAGCCTCGTCTCGCTCTTCGTCTACTCGAGCCTCGTCTCGTGCGCCGCCTCGTGGGCGGCGTGGCGTGGCGGGCGGCTGTCTCTGCCTCCGCCTCGAGTGAGCCTCGTCTCGCTCTTCGTCTACTCGAGCCTCGTCTCGTGTGCCGCCTCGTGGGGCGGCGTGGCGTGGCGGGCGGCCGTCTGTGCCGCCGCCTCGTGTGAGCCTCGTCTCGCTCTTCGTCTACTCGAGCCTCGTCTCGTGTGCCGCCTCGTGGGCGGCGTGGCGTGGCGGGCGGCCGTCTGTGCCGCCGCCTCGAGTGAGCGTCGTCTCGCTCTTCGTCTACTCGAGCCTCGTCTCGTGTGCCGCCTCGTGGGCGGCGTGGCGTGGCGGGCGGCTGTCTCTGCCGCCGCCTCGAGTGAGCCTCGTCTCGCTCTTCGTCTACTCGAGCCTCGTCTCGTGTGCCGCCTCGTGGGCGGCGTGGCGTGGCGGGCGGCTGTCTCTGCCGCCGCCTCGAGTGAGCCTCGTCTCGCTCTTCGTCTACTCGAGCCTCGCCTCGTCTGCCGCCTCGTGGGCGGCGTGGCGTGGCGGGCGGCCGTCTCTGCCGCCGCCTCGAGTGAGCCTCGTCTCGCTCTTCGTCTACCCGAGCCTCGTCTCGTGTGCCGCCTCTTGGGCGGCGTGGCGGGCGGGCGGCTGTCTCTGCTGCCGCCTTGAGTGAGCCTCGTCTCGCTCTTCGTCTACTCGAGCCTCGTCTCGTGCGCCGCCTCGTGGGCGGCGTGGCGTGGCGGGCGGCTGTCTCTGCCGCCGCCTCGAGTGAGCCTCGTCTCGCTCTTCGTCTACTCGAGCCTCGTCTCGTGCGCCGCCTCGTGGGCGGCGTGGCGTGGCGGGCGGCTGTCTCTGCCGCCGCCTCGAGTGAGCGTCGTCTCGCTCTTCGTCTACTCGAGCCTCGTCTCGTGTGCCGCCTCGTGGGCGGCGTGGCGTGGCGGGCGGCCGTCTCTGCCGCCAGCTTGTGTGAGCCTCGTCTCGCTCTTCGTCTACTCGAGCCTCGTCTCGTGTGCCGCCTCTTGGACGGCGTGGCGTGGCGGGCGGCTGTCTCTGCCGCCGCCTCGAGTGAGCCTCGTCTCGCTCTTCGTCTACTCGAGCCTCGTCTCGTGTGCCGCCTCGTGGGCGGCGTGGCGTGGCGGGCTGCTGAATCTGCCGCCGCCTCGAGTGAGCCTCGTCTCGCTCTTCGCCTACTTGAGCCTCGTCTCGTGTGCCGCCTCGTGGGCGGCGTGGCGTGGCGGGCGGCCGTCTCTGCCGCCGCCTCGAGTGAGCCTCGTCTCGCTCTTCGTCTACTCGAGCCTCGTCTCGTGTGCCGCCTCGTGGGCGGCGTGGCGTGGCGGGCGGCTGTCTGTGCCGCCGCCTCGAGCGAGCCTCGTCTCGCTCATCGTCTACTCGAGCCTCGTCTCGTGTGCCGCCTCGTGGGCGGCGTGGCGGGCGGCTGTCTCTGCCGCCGCCTCGAGTGAGCCTCGTCTCGCTCTTCGTCTACTCGAGCCTCGTCTCGTGTGCCGCCTCGTGGGCGGCGTGGCGTGGCGGGCGGCTGTCTCTGCCGCCGCCTCGTGTGAGCCTCGTCTCGCTCTTCGTCTACTCGAGCCTCGTCTCGTGCGCCGCCTCGTGGGCGGCGTGGCGTGGCGGGCGGCTGTCTCTGCCGCCGCCTCGAGTGAGCCTCGTCTCGCTCTTCGTCTACTCGAGCCTCGTCTCGTGCGCCGCCTCGTGGGCGGCGTGGCGTGGCGGGCGGCCGTCTGTGCCGCCGCCTTGTGTGAGCCTCGTCTCGCTCTTCGTCTACTCGAGCCTCGTCTCGTGTGCCGCCTCTTGGACGGCGTGGCGGGCGGCTGTCTCTGCCGCCGCCTCGAGTGAGCCTCGTCTCGCTCTTCGTCTACTCGAGCCTCGTCTCGTGTGCCGCCTCTTGGGCGGCGTGGCGTGGCGGGCGGCCGTCTGTGCCGCCGCCTCGAGTGAGCCTCGTCTCGCTCTTCGTCTACTCGAGCCTCGTCTCGTGTGCCGCCTCGTGGGCGGCGTGGCGTGGCGGGCGGCTGTCTCTGCTACCGCCTCGTGTGAGCCTCGCCTCGCTCTTCGTCTACTCGAGCCTCGTCTCGTGTGCCGCCTCTTGAGCGGCGTGGCGTGGCGGGCGGCCGTCTCTGCCGCCGCCTCGAGTGAGCTTCGTCTCGCTCTTCGTCTACTCGAGCCTCGTCTCGTGTGCCGCCTCGTGGGCGGCGTGGCGGGCGGGCGGCTGTCTCTGCCGCCGCCTCGAGTGAGCCTCGTCTCGCTCACCCTCTACTCGTGCCTCGTCTCGTGTGCCGCCTCGTGGGCGGCGTGGCGGGCGGCTGTCTCTGCCGCCGCCTCGAGTGAGCCTCGTCTCGCTCTTCGTCTACTCGAGCCTCGTCTCGTGTGCCGCCTCGTGGGCGGCGTGGCGTGGCGGGCGGCTGTCTCTGCCGCCGCCTTGTGTGAGCCTCGTCTCGCTCTTCGTCTACTCGAGCCTCGTCTCGTGTGCCGCCTCTTGGACGGCGTGGCGGGCGGCTGTCTCTGCCGCCGCCTCGAGTGAGCCTCGTCTCGCTCTTCGTCTACTCGAGCTTCGTCTCGTGTGCCGCCTCTTGGGCGGCGTGGCGTGGCGGGCGGCTGTCTCTGCCGCCGCCTCGTGCGAGCCTCGTCTCGCTCTTCGTCTACCCGAGCCTCGTCTCGTGTGCCGCCCCGTGGGCGGCGTGGCGTGGCGGGCGGCCGTCTGTGCCGCCGCCTCGAGTGAGCCTCGTCTCGCTCTTCGTCTACTCGAGCCTCGTCTCGTGTGCCGCCTTTTGGGCGGCGTGGCGTGGCGGGCGGCTGTCTCTGCCGCCGCCTCGTGCGAGCCTCGTCTCGCTCTTCGTCTACTCGAGCCTCGTCTCGTGTGCCGCCTCGTGGGCGGCGTGGCGTGGCGGGCGGCCGTCTGTGCCGCCGCCTCGAGTGAGCCTCGTCTCGCTCTTCGTCTACTCGAGCCTCGTCTCGTGCGCCGCCTCGTGGGCGGCGTGGCGTGGCGGGCGGCTGTCTCTGCCGCCGCCTCGTGCGAGCCTCGTCTCGCTCTTCGTCTACTCGAGCCTCGTCTCGTGTGCCGCCTCGTGGGCGGCGTGGCGTGGCGGGCGGCTGTCTCTGCCGCCGCCTCGAGTGAGCCTCGTCTCGCTCTTCGTCTACTCGAGCCTCGTCTCGTGTGCCGCCTCGTGGGCGGCGTGGCGTGGCGGGCGGCTGTCTCTGCCGCCGCCTCGAGTGAGCCTCGTCTCGCTCTTCGCCTACTCGAGCCTCGTCTCGTGTGCCGCCTCGTGGGCGGCGTGGCGGGCGGCTGTCTCTGCTGCCGCCTCGAGTGAGCCTCGTCTCGCTCTTCGTCTACTCGAGCCTCGTCTCGTGTGCCGCCTCGTGGGCGGCGTGGCGTGGCGGGCGGCTGTCTCTGCCGCCGCCTCGAGTGAGCCTCGTCTCGCTCTTCGTCTACTCGAGCCTCGCCTCGTGTGCCGCCTCGTGGGCGGCGTGGCGTGGCGGGCGGCTGTCTCTGCCGCCGCCTCGAGTGAGCCTCGTCTCGCTCTTCGTCTACTCGAGCCTCGTCTCGTGTGCCGCCTCGTGGGCGGCGTGGCGGGCGGCTGTCTCTGCTGCCGCCTTGAGTGAGCCTCGTCTCGCTCTTCGTCTACTCGAGCCTCGTCTCGTGTGCCGCCTCGTGGGGCGGCGTGGCGGGCGGCTGTCTCTGCCCGCCTCGAGTGAGCCTCGTCTCGCTCTTCGTCTACTCGAGCCTCGTCTCGTGTGCCGCCTCGTGGGCGGCGTGGCGTGGCGGGCGGCTGTCTCTGCCGCCGCCTCGAGTGAGCCTCGTCTCGCTCTTCGTCTACTCGAGCCTCGTCTCGTGTGCCGCCTCGTGGGCGGCGTGGCGGGCGGCTGTCTCTGCCGCCGCCTCGAGTGAGCCTCGTCTCGCTCTTCGTCTACTCGAGCCTCGTCTCGTATGCCGCTTGTGGGGAGCGTGGCGTGGCGGGCGGCTGTCTCTGCCGCCGCCTCGAGTGAGCCTCGTCTCGCTCTTCGTCTACTCGAGCCTCGTCTCGTGTGCCGCCTCGTGGGCGGCGTGGCGGGCGGCTGTCTCTGCCGCCGCCTCGAGTGAGCCTCGTCTCGCTCTTCGTCTACTCGAGCCTCGTCTC